GTTTGTGCCATTTATTCTCTTGGTGTTAAAAATTCCATGGATTTGATGTCTAATATGGTTTTGACATTTTATTTTTGTTTATTAGTTTTCTTAATCTCTTATTAATTCCAGCTAAGAAAATATTTATGCTTGGGACTCCTGCAGATATTATATAAGAGCATTTAGTGATGTTGCTGTTTGTGGTTCGAATACATAGAGGTCCTCTTTCACCCCTTGTTATGAGAGCGAAATCATTTTGGTTCATTAGTTGGGAGTTTTTCTTTAGTGCTGCTCTTAGAGTATTTTTTTCCCACTACTCTGTTTTTATAGTTTTTTTTAGACTGTTTGATGTGAGTGTCCTGCGAGTCTGGTATCATCTAATGAAATATTTTACTAACTTTCTCTCCGTTTGTTAACTAGATTTCAATGTTCACTTGGGTACCATGGAATCAGCTTTGATTCAAATGCTATTGTGATTAACTACATTCATTAATCAAATGTTATTGCAATTAACTCCATTTATTATTTTAGCTGCATCCTCTTTTCTTAATCAGGGGAGTTGTCGGGATGCATGTCTCTATCAACTGGGAGGAGGTGTTAAGATGCATGTTTGTGTTCAAAATGCTGGCAGAATTCAAAAAATCGTATGCTATCTTTTTTTGGGATGGTGTTAAACATGGAAATATGGCTTTCGCCTAAATTTTCGAGGAACATGGGACTGAAACTTTTGCTAGTTATATCTGTTTTCCTTTGTGTTTAATCAACTTGTGGGTATCTGTAAATATTTGATGTGCACAGATAGCTGGTGAGTCATTTAATTTTATGTGTTTGGTTCATAAGATAGCCTTTTGTGTGGAATGCTATTTTTTGGTGGATCTAACCGTATTGTTACATTTTATGAAGTGTTCATTTGTTGTATATGTATTGGAATTCAATTTTTTTGGATGATATTGGAATGTCTGCTCGCAGGAGTTGCTTCAAAAGTAATAAGCTTCCTGCATCTTCTACCTTTCATCTAATAATCATTGAGTAATACTATATTCATAAACATTTTTTACTAATTTTATCTCACAAACGTCACGTGTCGTCTCACAATTGTTTAGCTTATATGAGTCTTGCATGTCCAACAATGGATCTCAATTTGGTAAGATAAATATAAATGATGATTGGTGGGGGTGATATCTTTATAGAACTCCTACAATTTGATTTATATTGTTGCACTGTTTAACTAATATAAATCTAGTACAAGTTTCTCTTGCAAGTTTAATATGGGCGCTTTGTTTCACTATTCTATTCTTATTATATTTTATTATTCTATTCTAAAAATTAAAAAATATATTTATTTTAATATTTTTAAAATCTAATTCTACTTTATTCAATTCTCAAAATATTAATATTTTTTTTTTTTTTGTAAAGATAACTCTATTTTTTTTTAAATATTATTTTAAAAAATATCAAATAATGAACCAAACATAGCTATATTTCTTCCTATTTAATCTATTTATCATAATCAAATGCAATCCAATAGTAAGGTTTATGATTTTATAATTTAATATCGTTGGCCACATTTAATCAATGGGGTTTGAACTTTTCGGTTTTTTTTCTTGATGTCATCAACTTTTGTTTAGTGTATAAATATTATAATATGGCACAGCAGACAAAGTTGGGTACTTTATTGAAAGGGACGGCCAATTTTTATTGTTTTCGAATATGAGGTACATGAAGGCATCATTTTCTCAATTTGTTATTCAATTATTTCTCTCTGTTTCAGTGACATAATAAGATTGGCATTAGCCCAGAAGGACCTCGTCACCTCTACCAACTTGTTTACACCCAGGGTTTCAAAAAAACAATAATATTATATTTACATAAAAATCTTACATAAATTTTTATATAAAATAAGATGACAAAAAATAATAAAAAAACTAAACAAAAAATTAAATTTATTATAATCATTTTTTTATTTATTTTGTGTTACAATATTTTGTATAAAAATCTTTGTAAGATTTATTTTTAAGTATAGTATTACTCTTCAAAAAATTATCTAGAAAATTAGTCTGGATTCCTCTGAAAGGTTCATAATATTCATGAGAAATACACAAATATCCTTTAACATAACTTTCGTCTGTTTATTGTTTTATGTTTCAAAAATATATTGATGCGCATACTTATACCTAAACCATATTCTCTCTGTTTGTTTAATGAATTTATGAGTTTATTTATTTGAAATATTTTTGAGTTTCTTCTACAAATTGATAACCATTGACTTAGGGTAACAGTCATAATCATTCTTATCTATACGCAACATAATTAATGACACAACTTGTTCCCTGATAAGAATTAAAAAAAATGTTGAATAAACTTTAGACAGAAATGAGTCTTTTGTCAGCTACCAAGTTTGTCTGGATTGGTTATTCCAATTAATGCTTATATCACATTCATCGTTTTACATTATTTTTCATCTTTTTGAAAGTGTAGTACAGGTTACTATTTGATTTATTCAATGTACGGCTGTGGGTTGTAGATTATTGAAAGGAATATAATAGGTACACTGTACACTAATGGATGTGTAATCACCCATGCTTATCCTATCAATCAACAATAAAAATACATTAATTATCAAAACCCTGTCGAGTTTGACTTTTTCGTCCCCATTTTTTAATATTTGGAGAGGTAAAAGATAATTGAATAACAAAGTGTTGAGTCTGTTGACACTTGATTAACCCACACAGCCACTAATTAACAATTGAGTTCAATCATTTAATAGCAGAATTAGTTCAAGGTTGGATGACAGATTGATTTTGTTAATTGCTATTATAATCAATCTGGGTCCCTAAACAGTTGTCCGTACTAAAGTGGTGGGAAAAGGCAGTTGGTAATACAAATATTAAGCTTGGATTTCCAACTAATTTTTAGGGCCAGCGGCATATGCTTACCCAAATTTGGTAAAATGACAGATTGATATTCAAAAAGTTTTAAAATGATAAACAGGTACTTTTCGTTAGTGAAAAGACTAGAATACCATTTGAGAAATATCAGTCTATTTTTTTAATTACTTTTAGACCCCTTAAGTTTATTAATTCTATCAAATACCCTCAAAAAAAAAGTTTAAAAATTAACAAAAATACCCCCACTCACCCATACTTGCCAGATTCCGACGGCCACCACCATAAATGACCAGTAATTCACCGATCTGGTCTTTTTCGGCCATATCTGTGATGGATCTGGCCGGAAAAGGCTAGATTGGTGAACTATCGACCATTTTCGATGGTGGCGTAGACCGTTGTGATAGATTCCAGCTACCACCGGCGGTGGCCGTTGGAATCTAGCAAGTATGGGTGGGTGGGGGTATTTTTGTTCATTTTTAAACTTTTTTCTGGGGGTATTTGATGAAATTAATAAACTTAAGGAGTCTAAAAGTAATTAAAAAAATAGACTAATATTTCTCAAAGGGCATTCGAGTCTTTTCACTAAGGAATGTACCTATCGTTTTGAAACCTTTTGAGTATCAATCTGTCGTTTCGTCAAACCTTGGGTAGGTGTAAGTGGTTTCCCCTAATTTTTATTACAACTTGTTTAACGCAAATCTGTGGGAGCAAGCCAAAGACCATGTACATATATGTTGTTGCAACTTGTCTTGTCTTAACTATAATTTTTTTTTTTCATTGAGATGCCATTGACTCTTTAAAATTGGCTTTTTTTCTATTCGTGTCTATCACTACATGGCCCATGTATAGCGACATCCATCTGCTGTCATGACATTGATGATGTGTTAACCGTAGCCTTACAGATACTGTAATGATCAGCAGATTTTTCAGTTAAATTATATAAAAAACAATATCAAGGATTTCGATTATATAACCGAAAACAATGGAAGGTTTTTAGAATTCTGTGAGTAGTACACAGTAGACAGGTAAAATCACAATCAAAAGTGGAATTCCAGTACCCTTTTTTTTCCTTCTCAAAAGTACAAACTTCGATCCGTGTGTAACTAATTTCTGATAGGAATGTCAGAAATGAGCCGCAGCTTCTTCCAAGAACGAGAAATACCCATAATACATGAAGTATGCTGATATTGAGTTCTGGACTGAATTGATCCATATTCAACCCACCCCGAAAATTATTAAGATCAAAACAAGTTCTACCAGATTAAAATCTTGTTCTTTATTCCATTAATTATTATTAACAAGAGTTTTCAGTGAACGGTAGTAGTTGCTATCTAGCTGAACTAGTATTAGAGCATCTTTAATAGTATTTTTTATTTTAAAGAGATTATTTGGTATAAATAAAAAATATTTTATTAATTCTTAAATATAAAGAATAAAATCTTTATTCGAATTTAATGAATTTTTTAAATTTAATGAAGATGTTCTTTATTTTCAAGAACATGAGAAAGAATTAATAAATAAAATGCATAAAAACTTGTAATTTATTAATTAAAATTAGAATAGAGAGTGAAATTTGACTTTTTAGATGTGGAGAGTCAAACTTATTCTTTAATTTATATTCAAAAAATAAAAAGTATGTTTGACTCTTATTTTTATGAATAAACTTTTTATAATAAAATGTTTATTCATAAAAATAAGAGTTCAACAGACTCTTTATTCTTTAAATATAAATTAAAGAGCGAGTCTGACTCTCCACATCTAAAAAGTCAAATTTTATTCTTTATCTTAATTTTAAATAATAAATTATAAATTTTTATACATTTTATTTATAATTTATCTCTTTTATTAAATTTATTTATTGAAAAAATATATTCTCTTCATCAAAGTTTAAAGAGTTTATTAAATTTAAATAAAAAATTTATCCTTTATATTTAAAAATCAATAAAGATAAAATATGCTCATTAAAGATGATCTTAGCTTCCTTAAAAGAATATAATTTTTTGTCTATTATATACAGCATAAAAGTCTATCCCACACGTTGTCATTGCGCAACCAAATGTCAACGATTTGTACAAAACAAAACGTAACTGCTCACTCTCAATAGCCTTTAAAAGGAAACAGGCAACACCACAACTACCCACGAAACCCCATTCACTTTCACATCAAATCTATGCCATTTCCGATAATAATACTCTCTAAATTTTCTACATAATCACGATGAAGCTTGTTTGGTCTCCAGAAACCGCCTCTAAAGCTTACATAGACACAGTAAAATCAGTGAGTTATTTTTATTCTCCATCTATTAATTTTAATTTCAGTGACTTAATCTCTATTATACTAGAAGAGATTAGTTAACTTGGAATCATTTTTGCAGTGTGAAAATTTCAAAGAATCCAGCGTAGCCGAACTCCTCTCAGCCATGGCTGCTGGTTGGAACGCAAAGTTGATTGTCGAAGCCTGGTCCTGCGGCGGTCCAATACCAACCAGTATCGGCCTAGCTGTAGCCGCTCGTCACACCTGTGCACGACACGTGTGCGTAGTACCCGATGAACGTTCAAGATTAGCGTATGTTAAAGGCATGTACGAATCAGGCATATCAGCAACAGAAGTGATAGTACGAGAAGCAGAAGAGGCGATGGCGGAACTGGTGGGTGTAGATTTCTTGGTGGTTGATTGTAAGCGTAAAGATTTTGGTAGGGTTTTGAGGTTTGCAAAGTTTAGTAATAAAGGGGCCGTTTTAGTTTGCAAAAATGCATGTCAAAGGAGTTGTGGTAGCAGTAATATTTCTGGGTTAAGATGGAACGTGGTTCTGGAGAGAGGGTTACGTGTCGTACGATCGGTGTTCTTGCCGGTAGGTCAAGGATTAGACATGGCTCACGTAGGGAGTAATGTCCGGGGAGAGAATTTAAAGAAGAGTCCTACTCGTAGCCGTTGGATCAAGCATATTGATCAACGATCGGGTGAGGAGCATTTGTTTCGAGGATAATTTTGAGCTGAAGTTGACTGAGTATATTTTTGGCCAAGTTTGAAAATTTTTTCTACATCCCTGTACGTAGTCAATATCAGAGGAGGTAATTGATATTTTCCTTTTTGTAATTCAGGGGCTCTCAATCTCCATAGTTCAAGGCTTCAAGCCTCTTCTATGGCAGGAATTTTAGTATGAGTAATGTAAATATTTGCACACTTAATAAAAATTATTTGTGTTTGTATCAGTTAATTTCTTGCAGACTTTCTTATTTTTGGTTTGGGATCACGTTGGGCCAGTTTTTTAAGTATTCTAGAATGAAGGTAGTTTTTCAAAATTATATATATATATTGGTGACTGAAGGTGTTCGGATCAGTTTGCATATACCTCAATTAATTATTCGAAACCTTGAAGTTAACGATCAGATAAACTTCCAACGATCATCCCTATAAACATCCAAGGGTAATTAAACTTATGACATTTTGATTAATACATCTAAGAGTCTCTATTTGATTGCCCAGACACGCAGAAGTGGTTTAATATATATTTTTTAACACTATAAAAGCTTTAAAAATGAGATATCTATTTCATATTTTTCAATAATTACACCATAAAACCAATAGAGTAGTGCTCGATTGATAGCAAATACAATAAAAGAATACAATTTCCTCAAAATTTATAAAAAAAAATATATATTTTTTAAATTTTAATAAAGTGTATATTCAATCAAATGTGTACTTAAAGCTTTTTTTTTTTTTTTTTTTAATTAAATAGTCATATCCGTTTTGCTAAATAATGTTGGGCTCGCCACTAGACCCAATGGGTTACATTTGGATTCGGACACTTTGCCATACAGGCTTGCGACAATTCCAAAGGCCCACACAACGATGGGTAATTGTGCTTTGATATATAGTGAACAGAAAGGTGAATGCAAGAATACCATGAATACTATTGGTTTAGAACTAGTTAATTTGATTCTACCTGTGTGCTAATTGAACGATTCTCTTGTACCCATCAAATAGGAAATGAGTAATAAAATATATACAGAACATCTAGCTTCTTTAAAAAGAAAAAAAAAAAAATTAGAGCCAGACGAACATGCTGAGAATTACCAAAAACATTGTATCCTCTCTAACCTACATCTGATTAAACCTAGAAACAATGTGAGAAATTAAGGCAAATATTTTCTTTCAAAGGGCACTTTAAGCTCGAATCACTCTTGGATGATGGCTTGAGGTGATCCTGAAAACATGCTCCTCACCTGTGCATGTATCAACCGTAACAACCCAACGACTCCTTTTTCTTCCTTTATTGACTTCCCCATCGCCATTCCCATCACCAACCTTCGGAAATGCGGTTGTTTTAGTAACAAGCAGACCATTCCCAATGGGTAAAAACTGGGTATTAAATTCACTCCATGATCCTTTATGCAGGGCATTGTACCCTACAATAACTCCCCCTCCATGCTTTGTACTCTCTTGTGCGGCTCTAAATATTCCTTTATGAACATCACTGTTGCAATCAATAAGCACAAAATCTGCACCTCTGTACTCGTTTACTAATAGGTTTTGTGCGTCCCCAACGTCAAATTCAATGGAATTTGCGTAAGGGCCGAGAGCATTTTTGGAAGAATGAATGATGTCAAGTCCATGTAAAATACACACTACGCGACCGCCAGTCTGATGTGCTGCTGCAACTAGAGCTAGCGTAGTGGATACAGCAACGCTAGAGCATGCCAACACCATGAGTTGTGCATTATTTCCAGCTGCAAGAGCGGATATGAACTCGGCAACATCAGGCTCCTTGCCTCTTTTACCCTACAAAATGAAACAGAAAAGTTATATATGAGGATCAGTTAATAACAACCAAAAAGAAAAAAATACTTTAAACTTTAACAAGAGAGATTTCTTACCATTTTAAGAGCTTGGAGATAAGCTCTGGTAGCATTTTCAGAAGACCAACAAGCCATATATATCTTGTGTGGTTTTCACTTCTTTTTTTGGAGTAGTTTTACTGTTGATAAACAGGCCTTAGTTTGTTGTAGAGCTGAGGGGAAGAGAAGAGAACCCTGATATATAACGAAGAGAGATGCCACCTAGGCCTCTTTGCATTAAATTATTTGCATGCAAGCAACTGAGGAAGGTTTCAATTGAAAAGATTCTGCCATTACAACTGGCAAGTTTGAATAAGATGTTAGAAATTAAAAAAGCTTTGACAGAAACAGGTTAACCATCTACTCGTTTAATAATGTTTTTACGTAAATTAAGTTGTTTGTTAAATCCTTGTTTACTTTGGTCTTCAAGAGATTGCATGGACAATAAACGCAGAGAAATTAATGAGTTAATAGATCAATCATTTTCATCAATGGTTACAAGTATACATTTTGTTGATTAAGGTGGTGAGCAAATTATTAAGCGCCCACGGAATCCATATTTGATCACATGCACGTGCCGGCCAAATAAAAATAATGCTCATAAAGAACATTCATGTGCTTGCGATTTAGTTCTGACCAGAAGAATTAAAATTAAAGAAGATCGTGATTCCATTTCAATGGTTATTAATTTCTCTATAGCCATGAAACTTCTTATGTGCAGTTTCCAACTTAATTAATTACATGAGATTGATTTTATATTTATATACGTAATACCATTAAAGTTTTTCATTAAAAAAAAAAAAAGAAACCCACTTGCGATATATTTAGTGTATAAATGAGAAAAAGTTTGGAAAGCTTACGGCGTGGTTAATGAAAATGTTTGATCTAAACCATGTAGTATATTGCAAAATTAACTCAAAAGTACGTAGCTAATTGGAAGCTGCGATGGAACATGTCGCCAACTAGTACCACGAGCAACCCTGCTCTAAACCGAAAGCCAAGCCTTGCCTTGACAATTTAAAAATTATTCTTATCTCCATCACCTTCCTCGATGGAACTTCCCATTTGAAGTACTTGGTAATTGGTATTTGTTTAATGGCAAATATGTATCCACCATTCCCAAAATATTCACAAATATTAGCTGTAATGTTCTCGACTAGGTGACCAAAACTATCTATTAAAGTTAACAACGTAACAGAGTGTAGACATTTTCACAAATTTCTCCGAGACAAGCAAAACAGTGCCCATGTTCGTTCAAGCAGAAGGACAATAAGCTTTAATGATACAGTAAACCAGTCCACAGCGACCAAGGTTTGAGAAACATGATGCAACACTCTTCTCTCTCTTGAAGTTACATAGTGATTAGTTATAAATAATGGGATGATGACCTAACCTTTAATCCAAGAGTCAATTAAGCATAATTATGTATTTCTTAAGTTGGAGGTTGAAGTAGATAATAAAACCAACATTAAAACTATTTCTTTGGGCCCCAACATTAAAGACAGGATAGGGCAGAAGATGTGTAAGACAAACTAAACACTAGAATAAGGAGCATGATTGCTTGTTTGGCCTAACAACCAACACAGAGATCCAAGTCCGATCACATTGCTTTGCACGCATACACCTTGATATCCACAGCCTACCCTCAGTAATATAAATTGTTTTTTCTGGTTTCTCTTTCATCTTAGGATTCTTGTAAATGGGTTCCTCCGTGTCTGGTTTTATCTCTTTTTTTAAGGAATTGTTGTTTCTGATTAAAGTTTTGTGGCCATTCTATGATAGAGAAGTTTCAAAAAGTGCATTTAGCAATACCAAAAGTCAGATATTTGGTGGAAAAATAAATAGTTGACATCAAAAAGCCACTAAAACGACGCAGAGGAGGCATGACTCTATATCTTATAATTAGTCGATGCAAAAGGGAAAAAAAATCGAAGTATAGTAATGTTCTTTCGTTTTCACCGATTTTGGGAATTATAGTGAGACATACTTTGAAGTGATTCAGTCAAACCGACCCATGTTACCGAGTTTCGACACAACTCAATTCTCCTCAGAAACACAAGGGTATGCATTTGAATTTTGATACTACCATACCGTCCTTTTCAGCTTTTTATGTTCTAAATATTAGTACAAGTGCATAATGCCAACACAAAGACAAAGAAAAATAGTACTTGTTTATTCCTCTCAAATTTTGTCATCAAGACTAAGGGGAATAAAAGACAGAAATGGTACGACAACAAACACCACCACAAAGCACAATCATCAGCTCATTTTCTTATCCCAAAGGCAATAGACACATTGTTACAGAGCACAATAAACAGAAGTTTTAAACGATCTCGAGCAGACATACAACAGATCCTAATAACAATGGTAGACTCTTGGGAAAAACGAATGCCATGCCAAGTACTAACTACATACAGATGATAACTACTAGAGACGCTTGAATCATTCTATATTAATTCTAACAACCTTCTTAGTTCTGCCAGCAGAAGTAGTACTACTGGCTTCCTTATTTGCCATCATTTCTCCAGCACTTCGGGCTCCCCTAGTGGATGGAAGCATCCAGCCACCCCAAGTTGCCTTCCCACTTTGGTCATCACTGCTTGAACCTACATTGCCATTGGACGCAGAAGTTTCAATCAAACAAAGTATATGCCACGTGATGCTGAAAAACATTTGAATTTGTTAATTGTATAGCACATAAAGAGATTAAGAACATAGAACCATGATGTTGGTAATAATTTAAAAACGGAAATAAAAATTCTTTGTTGACAAAATTATATAATAATGTCAAGAAAGCAATTAATTCTTGAGAGTTACAACCTGTCACAATTAAAAAAGAAAAAAAAAGCAGCAGCAAAAGGAGCAAAACATAAGTCATTTTTTCTAGTACAAATATGTAATAAATTTAATTATCCCTTGTTCACATCACTGTCTAAAGCTATGTCCCTATCACATGCAATGGGATCCTTACACTCCAGAATCTAACAAGAGCAAGAAGAAAGCAACAAAGCCTACTTGACAGAACTACTGCATGGAAACAATCCAACAAGTATTCAGCTAATGAGCTAAAAAAATTCCTCATTTTCAATCAAGGAAATATTCCATCCAAGGTAAATGACTAGCAACCAGCAACACAGACATACACACAGACACAAGAAAACAACAAAATATAAAAACAAGATGAACATAAACCATAACAGTAAGGAGATAAAACAATGTTACCTGCATTATGATGCCTATTAAATCCATCATTCCAACCAGGTTTTGCATTCCCTCTCCAAGATTCTTCAAAACCAGCAAGCTCATCTGCAAAAAGAATTACAGTATAATACTTCTGTCGGTGCACATATTCCTCATACTGGTTCAAATAATGACAATGGACAGAAGCAACAGACCTTCATTCAAATTGTGTAGAGTTTGCACTGCATCCACCTTACCATCTGCATTAAGCTTCCTTGTAACAGAATGGCCCTGCACCAGCAACGTGACCACCTCAATCATCACTAAAACTATACGGTCAAAATTCTGTAAGAATAATGAAATGTATTTCTTTGTTCCTGGATGTCAGTTAAGTACTCTTTAGATCATAAAGTAGAAGCAAAATATTTAGTCCTGAAACCAAATCTATGTGTGATAAAGAATTAACATTAGACTCTATCCAATGAAAGTATAGTGAAGTGTGAAACAGATGGTTCGCAGCAACAATAAATCTAAAGACTTAAATGAATCAGCTCTGACATGAAAATTCCAACTAATAAACTGCAAACACTAGTGCAGTGGAAGCTGGAGAAACAGTGCAGGACTTTGTAACTGCACCCACCTTATCATGAATCCCTTTAGAAATCCTATGTGTTGCTTGACCCGTTGTTGTATCCGCTTCTTTGCTCTCCTCGAGAACCATCTGATACACAATCAAAACATTAGAGCCAGAAAATCAAATAATAAATCAACTATCACTGAAAAGATTCTTACACCATCGTTGCCAGCCCTTCTTGTTCTTGTAGAAGTGTAATATGCTCCATCGACACCTCCATATGTAACTCTGCAAGTCTGAAAACTAGAACTGTGAGCCTGAGACTGCGTCCCTTCCACCTTGTTGTGATGGTTTATATGATTCACACTCTTACTCTTCCTCTCTATTAGATCAACACATCATTAGTTATGGATTTATAGTCATTTATACCCAAAAGCAAAGATAAAGAAGAGTTAATAGAACATTAAAGTTTAGTTACCATCAGCATCAACATCATCTGGATGCTCGACAAAAGGTTCTTTGCTTGAACCAGAACGTATTTTATGATTATCTTTCTCATCCCCAGAACCTATATCTTCTTCTTTTTCTCCCTCTTCATCAGAATTTAGTTCTTCAATGACTATTCCCTTTGCTTCATTGGTCTGTGGAGCATTCCTGGATGAAGTTCTTTGACCAAACATGCTAGGTTCAGAAAATCCGAAAGGACGAGTAAAGAACGGATCATCAAATGGATCCCTTCCTCGAAACAGGCTCGGCATCATACTCCTGTGGGATCCAAAACCACCAAAACCTTGGAAAATAGCAAATGGGTCACCCATATCAAAGAGACCATTTCTACCTTCTCTTTCCCTCTGCATTTTGTATTGCTATTTCCCCTAGAAGAACAGACTGCATTAGAAGAAGATTTCCTTTTAGGATTACTATTAAAATAATAACTTACAGCTTTTATGATAAAAAGACATATCAAGGGAATCACCCAGATCATCTTATCTACGGGAAGAAAAAGAGCCAAATATATTTACATTATCAACCACAACTTCGATTCTCAATTGTTCTCAAGAAATCCATGAGAAATCGTCCCAAACAAAACCTTCAGATTATCAAATAAAGAATCAACTGTAAAGAAAACCAAGATAATTCTGGTAGTTTACCGTGAAAGTTTTTTCATGCGTCTCACATGCAGAAAATTGAGATTAAAAAGGAAAAATAACAATTCAATATAAGTCTTCCAAATAACGAAACAATCTTCAGGAAATTCCTTATTTTTTTCAGACACGACTCGTAGTTTAGGCCCCTTCATTTGTTTTATATGAAAATTTAAGATATCTATCATAATCAATAAGATTGCTGATGACATGAAACAACATTGATTAAACAGTACATGGAATTTAGTCGTTACAAGAGAAAGCAAGGCAGACAGTTACTCCATGTGCCCTAGTTGGTTGGTTTTTGACGAACCAAAAAATAATAATTAAATATTTCAGAGTCGTCCTTCATGCTCTGTTGCTGATAGGTAGCGTAAAAATGCAGCATGAAATGAAATTTAAAAATATTTGGAATTCGAATAATCATAGACAGCGATTATCAAACTGAAAAACTAAACTTCGAAGACAAGAGAAAAAAATTCCCAGTAAATTTAACGTCTTTTGAGCCATGTTTGATTGCCGAGAAAATATCGCAAATGAAAACAAAACCGGAATTTCGATAATTAAAGTGTATGAAAAAATAATTTCAAGATCATCAAGAACATAGTTCCTCCGAAAAACCAAGACGGAGGCGGCAAAATACAGGATGAACCATAATTAATAACTATTTAAAAAATATATTCCAGATCCACAAGCGACGATTATTATCAGCATTCGACAACAGAATTACGACGCCAAAAAGTATGAGAAAGGAAGAGAGACATACCTGATGAAATGAATTAGAAAAGAGATGATCGCGAGTGACAGAGAAAAAACCAGAGAATGGCTTCTGCTTTTTCTGCGATAACAATCAAATATAAATAGCGAGGAATTAAAAAAAGGGGAGAATATTTGAGAACGTGACACGTACTCAATGCAAATTAAGCTAGAATGTTCCCCCGATACTTCGTCCTTCCTCGTCATATTTCCGTTTCCAAGTTTCAAACTCTTAGCATGTGTTGATCACGTGATACTTAATTCAGAACGACTTACACATATCCAAGGTTTGTCGTAATGATAAATTAGTATTTAAAAGGTTTTGAATGATAAATAGGTACCGTCCGTCATGTTCTGTTAGTGATTTCTGTTTATTAATAGTGAAAAGACTAACATGCCCTTAAAAGTTTGAATTTTAGTTTTTTATAAATTTAAAAATTTAAAAATTTCTAAAAAACCCCCTAGATTTACAAATTTAACTAAATACGCCAATATATAAATTTTTTGTAAAATAACAAAAACACCCCCACCACCCGCAATGCCAAATTCCGACCACCACCGTCGGAATCTGACCGGAAAGTTTTGTTACGACACAGACCCGTCGGATCTGTGTCGTAACGCGTCGGATCTGGCCGGAACAGGCTAGATCTACGGCTAGATCTGGCCGTCGACGTCGCAAAACTCCATCTGCGGTGTCGACAGCTAGATCTGGCCGTAGATCTGGCCTTTTCCGGCCAGATCAGCCACGGATCTGGCTGAAAAAGGCTAGATCTGGCTGCTGTTTCGACAACCAGATCTGGCCTTTCCTGCCAGATCCGTGGCAGATCTGGTCGGAAAAGGCAAGATCGGCACGTTACGACACAAATCCGACGGGTCTGTGTCGTAACGCAACTTTTCGGCCAGATTCCGGCGGTGGTGACCGGATTCTGGCACTGCGGGTGGCAGGAGTGTTTTTGTTATTTTACAAAAATTTTATATATTGGGGTATTTAGTTAAATTTGTAAATCTAAGGGGTTTTTTAGAAATTTTTACATTTATAAAAAACTATTTCAAGGGCATTTTATCTTTTCACTATTAATAAACAGAAATCACTAACAGAACATGATGGAAGGTACCTATTTATCGTTTCAAAACCTTTTGAATACCAACTTATCGTTATGACAAACTTTGAGTATGCACAAGTCGTTCGGCCTAACTTATATTATAACCTTGCAAATTTTAGCAACGGCCACCGTGAATGTTTCATCAGTTAAAAATCTTTTTTAAGTATACTGCGACGATTAGAGAAAGATTAATAAATTCTATCTCCAAAAAGAATGAGCATAAAAGCATCGACATCGTACACAAAATTTGATCAACTGTATTAGCCAATGGACATACAAGTATAGTACACAAGATCGATCNAACTTATATTATAACCTTGCAAATTTTAGCAACGGCCACCGTGAATGTTTCATCAGTTAAAAATCTTTTTTAAGTATACTGTGACGATTAGAGAAAGATTAATAAATTCTATCTCCAAAAAGAATGAGCATAAAAGCATCGACATCGTACACAAAATTTGATCAACTGTATTAGCCAATGGACATACAAGTATAGTACACAAGATCGATCAACTCTATTTCCAATGGACATACAAGCACTGTATACAGATTGATCAAACTCCACTGGAAGCAAATGCCCCAGTGAGTTGCATCCTAAAATTCCAATCTTATCAACCTTACAGGGGGAGATTAAAAAAAAAAAAAAAAAAAAACAAAAACAAAAACCATCAGCATGCCACCAGATTAAAAAAGTTGCATTCTAATCTTATACTTCCCACATTTCAAACATATAATTAGAACATGAAATAAACATCAGCTCGTCAAAGCTATCCTTCAGCAACACTAATGTTACTTCCCCTGATCTGCTCCTTCATAAAGTACCCCGCTACTCGCCTCTTATCTTTCATGTTTATTTCTACAAGCAGACATCTGTGGGAATGAATGGTTAGAAGCCCAAATTGGCCGCGAACTGTTTCAGTTAGGATGTAAAGGAACATTTTGCAGGGCTCCATATCTAATGCTCCAAAGAAAAGTTCCAGTTTCCTAGCATTGTGGAAGTTTTTAGAAATCTTGAGAATCAAAGTCAGGCTTCGATGGATAGTCAAGACCCTGAAGTGCTGGCATCCGGCGTAAATCTTCATCCGAATAAGCAGGTATGAACCAATATCGCTGATCTGTCCCAAAAACCTAGCAAGTAAAATCAACACCAAAATGTCAGCTAAAGGTCAAAATATAGTGAGCAAAAATAATTCAAAAAACCTCACCGCCTATGAATACAATTATTTTGCAGTGTTTAAGAAGTTAAAAGAGTTTATCATTACTTGAAAAAGAAAAATCCTCCTCGTTCAGCCCCCTACTTACACACAATAACCCATCTCCCCCACCAACAAGAGAAGATAGAAAAATGACTCCAATAATATTCTTAAATCAAATTTTGGGTCCAAGTGATCCAGACTTTCAATTTACAAACCACAGGGGTCCCACTTTCCCAGTTCTGAAATATTAACCCAATTTGTCAAAAAATAAGACATGAAAGACATAATGAATTCAGCCGTACCAACCTATCACTACAAGTAGAATCCAGAACAATTCAATTTCACAGGATGACCAATCTTGTTTCTAGCATTCACAATTTCTGGCTTTCTTAGGAATAGGGTGGATTTGTTGGTCATAAATGAAGGTTGATTGCTTCCCCAAAATCAAATACAGGTATTAAAAGAGATCATTATAATTGCATTCACTGAACCCAGACCAGTTCCTGATATACAATGAGCATGAGTCGCTTAATTAAATAATAAATGCCAAAGGAAACGAGATGATGCAGTGGTACTTGTGTAATTTTGTATGACTACGACCCAAACATTTTTAATGTTTAACTAGGTCATGTTTAACATGTACATAAGCCTCAAGCATGTTAAGCAGTGAGTGCTTTGATTACTTTTTAGAACTTTTGAGAAATTTTTTGTTTGGCATGGTTCGGCCAAACCTGTACATTTGTCATTATTCATAATTGTACATCTTATGCAACATTTTGATGCAAAGGAAGAAGAGAAAGAGCATCATGTTGCACAGTGCAATAACCTGTTCAAAGTTCTTCTTTCGACCAAGGTCATAACGCCATTTTGGAGTGGTCTTCTTCTCATATGCCTGATCACAATAAAATGATAGATTCATCAGTGAATAAGTCCTCGTCTCCAGCACCTTCCCTCTAAAGTTGTGCAAGTATTATGTTCCCTTACAGAAGATCACAGAAAACCCACAATGTATTTGCAATTCTGTTAATCTGTGTTTTAGTAGTATAGACCTTAAGAGGAGGGTTTTTCCTTCTCCGGTTTATTTTTAATTTTTATCATTACAGATCCTTGTGCAGAGTGTAGAGAACATGGACCATCTTACAGGAATTAGTTTTAAATTTTCAAACTTCTCCTCAAGGTTTCCAGGAGGAAGAACCAGATCTGAAAATTCTAATGTATTAAGCACGTTCTAAACTAAGGCCTCCCAACTCTGATTTTAAAGAATCCTCCTCCATATAATAAAAGATTAATATTATCAAAAAAATGCCAGAAACACCACCATTAACAACGTGGCATAAAAGTAAAAGAAAGAAAGTGGCAAAGAAAAAAAACACTATACCTCAATAGTTGTGGTATTAGCAGCCACCAAAGATATGTGCATGATCAGAAAGCCCAGCACACTCAATGCAAATGCCAGATTCAAAACTGAACAAGCCAGCACCAATAATTATACAAAAGTATAGATGCAACCAATAATATAGGTCAGATGAGAGGCTAAACAAGTCATACCAAAGGCAAGAAAGGTAGTTGCAAGGGTTCCTGGTGTCCCAGGAATTTCTCCTTCGCTGAAGAATGCTATAAAATGTGGAAGTAGCGATAGTGTCACAAGAGTTGTTTCAAGAAATGTGTAGAACTGCATTCATAAATAAGACTTATGATCAGTGGTCAATAGGACTGTGAGGTATCAACATAAAAGACCCAACAGAATAGTGTGTAACCACAGTCAACTGGGTAACCAACAAATACAAATAAGTTAAACCAGGATAAATTCATCTGAGGCCAGTAACACTTCATTCACTAACGACTTCTACCTGTTTATGTGTTGTTTGCAGCATTACTTTCTTAACAATGATTCAAATGACACACGGCTGGTCAATTACACATCCCAATTAAAATTAAAGAAGACATCTTGAAATACATGAGCTTCAAGACATGTACTTCTGGATCATGAGGTAACCAAAAGGAACTACAGTATTTCTTCCTACCAGAAGTTTGTGTGTGACATGAAAACCAAAAACCAAGCCTACTATGGAGCAAACTGAAGGTGAGATTTCTGTTCTTTTACCTCTTTTACTATCTATAAGAGAGCTCCTCTACATAATCTTAACTAAGATTTGAGACAATTTGTAGGATGAATAAAACTTCTTCCGCTTTTTTCTAAAAGAATTTGTGGGTTAGCAAGCAAAGCAAACATACCAAGAAGAGAAGAAAATACTTATAATTCAATGCCCCAACGCAATTAACAACCCATACACAATGATGGTCCATCTTTAATATGCACCGTCCACCTGAAGCAAAAAGAAAAAATTAATACAACTTATCTTTCAGTTACGAGAGATTAACAAAAGGATAATTGCCGATTGAATGTGTGTAAAAACTCACAAACGGAACAATGATGGCATCGGGGTGGCTTCAGCTGGTTGCACTTCCGACAGTATCGGATTCTTTGATTTGATGGGTCAGACTGCACACCACTGAATTCTGACCCATTTAACGGGTCAGCCTCTCCCCTCTCCTCATCAATAGTAGGCCTCCAATTAGGTGGCACACTACCCGGATCAGTCAAAACAACTGAAAAATAACTCCACAATAGCATCACCAACTGCAAAACGACAACGGACGTTCCATTTTAAGTACCATTCACTGCATATACTTGATCATCTCTCTCTAAAGCTTTTTTTAGCTAAAAATTAAAATCAGCCATGCTTAAAAACAGTTACAGAATCTATTTTCTTTAATAATATAAGACCAAAAATTGAATAGAGGGCTAAAATTTGAAGACTTCCAACAACGCAAAATCGTCTAAAAATTAAGTCCTAAAGACACTCCAAGATATCTTGAACTCATCAAAACTGAAGTTTCCTCACCAAATGGTAAGATCCACTAAAAAATTGCCATAAAAATTGATTACCAAAGCACAAAATTCTTAACTACATTTTTTACACAAAAAAGGTTTCTATGGTTAATTTTGTTTGAAACGATAATCACTTCTCTAAGTCTGATTTTGCAAATCAAAGATTGAAAATTTTATTATAACAATAATTAATAAAAAAAAAAATTCCAAAAATTACCAAACAAGATCCTCCGATTAGCTAAACCAAATCTAAAACCCAAAACACTTGAAACAAAACCCTTCAATTTACAAAAATGTAAAACTCAAAAATACCCTCGTAAAGTGACGAACCTGAGAAACTTACCAAACAATGAAACAAGAGCAATACAGCCAGAGCAGTGACAGAACCAAGCCCTCCGACGTACAAAGCGGGGCCATAATTGGTCAAAACAACAGCGTAATAGGTGACACCAACGACCCCAAGAACCAACAAGATCATGATCGAACCCAGACCCCGCAAGGCCGTACAGAACTTAAACACATTCCAAGCCATCGCAGCTCCAGATCTATGCATACTAAGAACCTAAACCAAAACCAAAAAAGATTAATTTCAAGAAACAATTGGCGTTTGTTTTCCTCTGATTTCTTCAAGCAGAAATGCGTAAACGATTTAGGGTTTAGAATTAAGTTGGGGCGTTAGCGGATAACAATTATATTATTAGGAGTCGTCAAAAACAAGAAAACGGAATCATAAATAAAAAAAGAAAATAAAAAAAGAGAGTGTTTCATGTGTTTCTGTTTCCTGGAGAATTTTTGTGTTTTGTGAAGTGAATTGCGAATCTTGGGTTTATGAGATTTGGGATTCCAGGTGGGGTGTGGAATCCATGCCGTTAGAGAGATATATGAGAGAAAAATAAAAGGATGAGTTTTACTCTTCTTTCTTTTCTTTTCTTTTTAATTTTATTTTTGCGTCTTTGTGAGCTGGAAATAAATGGCAGAATGGGTTACTGATTAATATAAAGGATTAGTTGTATGTAATTATTAATTAACAACTACTTTATATTTTTTAAGAATATTAAATATTTTCGTCAATTATTCAATCTACAAGTTTTGTTCGTGTGTGATAATGCCTTACGTTTGTGCATAAAAATCCAAAATTCCGACTGTACGAGGTTCTGGAAGTGGTCTTAACTTATACATGGGCAAAAATAATTCAATCCCTTTGGTTATCTATCTCCACCGTCCAAACGATGTTTGAGTTGAGTGGACAGGATTAAAAATTTGTGATAAAATGTAGTTACCAGAAGGATCTGACGGCCAACGCAAAACAAACAAATGTAGTCAGTAGTAACTCTTCCCATTCATTCTTCTTTTAATTTGTTTCGATCGATAAATTATGCTTCTGAATAAATTTTAGTGATAGAATTTGTCTGTTTTAACCATAGAATTAATTAATCTGGACTTCAATGACAAAACATAAATTATTAGTACTGGGAGTCACTTTAACCTTTTAAATTGCTCTCTAATCCACCATCAAACCTATATTATCTTCATTAAAAGTTGAGTAATACTATATTTATAAAGTCCCCATACAAAGATATATGTACAAAGTGATATGTCATACTATGATTGGATAATGAATTTGACTTTAGTTAAAAAGTTGACTTTACAAATTCACTCTCCCAATCATAATATGACACATCACTTTATACACATATTTTTGTATGAGGACTTTGTAAGTGTAGTATTATTCTTAAAAGTTATGTTGTATGAGGATGTGCGATCAACTCGAAGTAAGCAATATTTTAGAGTGAGTTGTAACTCGGGGGAAATAGTAAAGCGGCGATCAAATTGGAGCGAGTTGTCCTAAAATCAAGGAGAATATCATCGAAACACTCTTTACTATTTTATCAGATTATTATCATCATGGAGCATGAGATTAACTTCAGAAAATCATGTCTGTTATCCCTAAAATTTATCCATTACAATTTCATATTATAAAAACGCCTGAAAAATAATTGTACAGGTGTTAGGAAAACTTTGAGAGAACAGACTATTATTGTAAGAACAATGGAGATGTGTTTGATTCTAATTAGCGGAACCACTTTAAAATTCATCTTTGATTTTTCTTTCTTAGCACTTGAATCTATTTCTTGCTGATTATTATTAATCACACACACATTTTACCCACTTGACTTACTCAATTCCTCCCAGATCAATTGGGTATCGCAAGTTATTGCTGATTTTCTTAGCAAGAAGTTCCATGACAGTGGACAAAGGTGTCGTTTGTGTTACTGGTGGAACTGGTTTCATTGCGTCATGGCTGATTATGAGGCTTCTTCAACATGAATACACAGTCCGAAATGAAATTCTAACTTGACAATTGAGGCAAAACAAAAAATAATAATAATAATAATAATTGTTGACCGTTGACTTCTCAATTTTTATTTTCCATGCAAATTAATCAAAGTAAACTGCAAATAATAAATGGTCATAGAAAATATTTTCATTCCATTCAAGCTGAAGTTGTAAGTTTAGCCTCTATATATAGTCAAAGATATACAATCAACATCATTTCTGTTTTGGAAAAAAAATTAGAAAGGATAAGACTTATTATGTATCCAAGCAAACTTTCAAATTTATGGTAGTAGTAAATATGAACACGCATAGAAAAATATTCCCTTTTCATTTCACATTAAGTTTTAATATTGTAACCCTCTGTTTATAGTCAAAAATTAAAAGCCTACTTGTTTATGGACACTGAATCTGAACTCACGCTTTATTGAGTAGAACATAAAAGAGACATCAACTACCTGACGAACCTACCGGGAGCAACAGAGGGACTGCATATCTTTACTGCAGATCTAGACAAACCAGAGAGTTTTAATGAGGCCATAGAAGGATGCATGGGAGTTTTCCACTTTGCTTATCCTGTTGATTTCACTGGAAAATAACCTGAGGAAACTGTCGCCAACAGAGCCATATCAGGAACCTTAGGAATATTGAAAGGGGGCGTTCGGTTGGAAGTAATGGAAGATTACCGGGGTTATATTCTGGTAATTTTGCATTATCAATAGTTGTTACTGTTAGTAATATTGGAGGTTCTTAGGTATTGTAAGATTACCTTGGTAATTTTATTTTTGTTACAATTCTATCCTTTATTAATAAAAAATTTAGACAATAATGCCCCTATTTTAAAATAAATTTACATTAATATTCCATTTCAATTTTCCTTTTGTTTAATTAATTAGCTTTTAGACAATAATACCCTTATGTTTACAACAAATTACAGACCACCACCGTCACCTACTCACCACCACCGACAGCGGGCCAACCACTATGGACCGCCGCTGAAAAGTCGCCAAAGTCCCTAAAAATGATCGAGATTCACTGGAAGGCCTCGATATGGCCATTTCTAGCCATATTGATGGCCGAAAACCACCATATCAGGCCAAAAACAGCCATATCAGAGCCTCGTGGTCACGGTGAGCTACTCACGATGACTTTCGGAGACTTTCGGTGGTGATTTGTGCTAGCGGCAAGGGGTGGGAGTGATTTTGTCATAAATTAAATTTTATATAAGCGAGGGTGTTTTAGCTAAATCTGAAATATTGGGGGTCAAAAGAATTATTCAAAAATTAATAATAAAAATAATATTATATTAATATTTAAAAAGAGGGCAATTTAGTTATTCTAGTGCATCCGCAGTCATTTTCAGCAGCAATGATCAAGAGATTGTGGACGAGAGTTCACAAAGTGACATAGAGTTCTATAGGTGTTGGCGTCAAAGTCTCACATCGGTTAAGAGACAAGGGTCTTAGTCGCTTATATAGCACAAGAACGCTCTCACCATATAGAGGTGCCTTTTTAAGAAAAAACCGCGAGGGCCTCAGAATCCAAAATGGACAATACCTCTGAGAACTCATGTATCATGTGTTTAGATCCTGCATACATCAACAATTGATGCTAGGTTTAGGCCACTCCCAAGCCCCTCTAGGGGGCTTAGGAGATTAAGGATAAAATCATACAGGTCTTAGGGCCTAAAGTAAATAATACCTCTGAGAACTCATCTATAATGCATCTAGATCTGTCATCATCAACATAAGTCTAAATCTAATTGGAATTTCTTATGTGGCCGCTAAGACAAGGGCTGCCTGATAAGAACGGCTTGGATCTTGTGAGTGTGGTCCCTTTTTCGGTCAGCGGTCCATTCATTTGTCCTGCTTTTCCTTCTTCAGATTACATGGCAATGTGTCTGATCTTAGGTATACATATACACTGTTTGCTAAACTTTATTTAGTGCAAAATTGAAACTCTTTATTAAGTATCCATCATTCTAATTACCATTAATTATAATTATATGTATAATTATGAATGGTTATATTATATTATTATTTGCAGGTGATCAGCATTGGTATAAATCTATTATAAAATCAAATTCGGTACACATGGATGATGTGGCTAGCGCTCATATTTTCTTTCTTGAATATCCCAACGCAAAAGGGAGGTATATTTGTTCATCGCACGAAATATCCCTTCCCTGCTTGAAATGTCTGAATTTCTTTCCGCAGCTCCTTGGAGGATGTAGTCGGTTATAAAATATTTAGTCTCTCGTCAACGAAGCTCTTAAATTCTGGATTCAAGTTTAAGTGTGGCCTCAGTGAAATGTTCGGTTCTTGCAAAGAAAAGGGCTGTCTTAAAATCAATCAAATAATTGCCCACGTTTTTATTTCGGCCGAACTATGCACGCAGTCATAGTTTTCTGTAAAAACAATTTGATACCCAAACAATTTGAAAATGACAACTACACTTTCCGTCCAAATTGTTAGTAAAATCCGTTTAAATAAAGACAATATGGTGATTTTATATCCAACCAAAAATTAATCTACGATATTCATCATTAATTTTAAATTAATCCATAAGCCCACCATTATATTAAAACAACTTCAATTAATAAAAAAGTTAATCTTTATTGCAACAAAATTTCAAGAAGTCTTCCAAAACAGATTTCACAAAAAAGATTGTACAAAAATTTGCATCTTAAAGATATGGAGTGAAAGTTGCAGATGAAGGAGAAGTTTGGTGAAATCGGAATCAGCTCTTTTACATATGCTTAAGAGGATGCTCATAAACTATTCGAGTGAATGACTACTGCAATCTTTCATTCAACCAAGATTTGCAGAAACTATCAACTCCCATTAATTCAAATTCTAACCCAGATTCATCCAGAATCCCCAGAAAAAATCACCTCCCATAAATTCAAACACAATTGAAATTCATCCCCCATCTTAACACCACATTCAAAATTCATCGTCCATCTCAACTCCATAATCAAATTCATCTTACATCTCAACTAAACAATCATAGTCATAATAAGCACAAGAGAAGAAAAAAAAATCAAAAATCAAACCCATAAAACCCATTGCTGAAACCTATGAAAAGAAAAATGAAATTGTTCTTGTCTCGGTCGGGTGCAATTCTGACGCTCTCCAAACTCGCCACCAAAACCACCAAACACAGCCATCACCATCACCACCGCCACAAACCACCACAAATTTCAAACACTTCCAACCCAAATTGTAAAAAATTATAAAAATTTGAAAAAAAATTTAAAAAACTGAAGAGGAAAAAACTTTTGGAGAGAATTTTCTCTCAATTGGTTGAAGTAGGCGCCGCCGCCGGTGGTTTTAGCCACTTTTTCGACGCCCAATTGTAGCCCTCACCCTCCCAGCCCCCTCCGCGTTGCACGGACGCGGTTTCCGTCAGCCCTCATCCTCCCAGTCCATATTCTGGTGTCGGGTTCTTGCCTAGTTACCGGAGTGAAAAGAGGGAGAAGAAAGGAAAGAAACAGAAGGGAGAGAAGAAAGAACAAAGATAAGAGAGAGAAGAGGCGTAGAAGATACGAGATGCAAAGAGAGAAGAGAAAAAATAAAGAAATACGATATGGATTAATTTAAAATTGAAGATTATTTTTTTATTGGACATTAAATTACCATATTATCCTTTTTCAAATGGATTTTACTAACAGATTTGGGCGGAAAGTGGATAATTGTCATTTTCAAACTTTTTGGGTACTATATTGTCTTTACGGAAAACTATAGGGGGTATAGTGGTTCGGTCTTTTTATTTCCATGTTCTAATAAATGTAATTGGTCTGTGAGCTTATTAATTATACGATCATTTCTCCAAACTGATATAAATCTATTTGCATAGCATGTGGAGTAGGGCAAAGCTGTTAATTGCTAGCTCGGCTGTTCTCGAATGATGTTTCTTAATTAATGAATCATATCTGACCATTTACAGAATGAAAAACCGTAATACGCATAACAATTAAAGTCAACGAATGAAAAACCGTAATACGCACAACAATTAAAGTCAACGAATGAAAAACCGTTCTTTAAGGATTTAGTTTCAAAGATCTCTTCATTACATTTACAGACAGCTCGATCTACTTGAATCTTGATTTAGACGTATCCCAAATATTTGCCCTAAAACAAGTGGATTCTAGCTGTCTCTGTTATCAAAGAGTAGAGTTAACTTACTCGTAATAATAAATCGAATATTACTAAAAAAGAATGAATTATGTTCCCTTTGCATATGCCCAAGGGCAGCAAAGATTTGGCCCAACAAGCTGTCAGCCTCCAGTCAGTCACTCAGCCAACCTAGAGCAACCCGCCCTCGTTTCTGGTCCCTGTAGAATTTTTTAGCGCTCTATCCAATTAATTGCTTTAACTTGGATTTAAGTCTATGGCTAATGGCTTTCTTTATTCTTAAAAGTCTATCACCCAAAATGCAAGCCATTGTCGGCCAGCTCAAGAATAACAATCAAGGTGACACGAGAATCAATATTTAAGGAGCTATTACGTCAATTATAATTAATATGAACGTGAAAAGAACAGCATATATAAAATATGGGCAAGTATATAATATAGTTGTACTATAACTTTCACATTATAATATATGATTATTTGCTGTAAGGAATAATTAACTTGTCAACGTAATTGGTAATTTAATTAAGCAACTCAAAAAATTAAAAATATTAAAAACAGATTTAGCATTAATTTCGTATATTTGTGCACCTGTAATGCCATAATTTTTTGAAGATATTCCGTGGCACTTCACAAACGGAACAGTGTCGTATTTGAGACTTGAGAGTTGTGTTAACAGGCCTGCAATCAAACCGAATTGTTCACGAACAATTCGAGTTTGGCTCGGCTGAAGTTCGTATTCGGTTTGAAATCTGTCGAATCGAACTCGAGCTCAAACTCAAATAGTTTGAGTAATATTCAAACCGAGTATCGAATATGGTAGTACTCGGCTCAAAAGTTTAGTTTCAACTTGTTTATAGTGCTGCTGAGTACTTGATTAACATTGTTTAGTTTAGTTTGATGAAGTAATCATGCAATTGCAATCAGAATTGCAATCAGGTTCTATAATTTGATTTTAAATTTGATCATGCATTCTAGAACTTTGGAGCTTATGGAAATTTGATTTTAAAATTGAATGTGAATAGAATTTGAGCAATTATTCGAGCTCAAATTCAAACTTTGATGCCAACACAAATTCGAGCTCCTCCTCGAACTCGAATTCGAGCCTCAGCTCGAACTTGAACACAACTCAGATAACAAACGAACCAACTTGAACACCCATCAATTTACCAAACTCGAATACGAACATGGTTTTCCTAGGCTCTACGAACTTGAACTCTATCAAATTTTCACGAACCGAACTTGAACTCGAACTCGATGGTGTTCGGGTCAGATCTGCTTGTTTGTAGGCCTAGTTGTGTATAAATTTTTAGAGTATACTTGAGAAAAGAGAAGGACGGTTGTGAAAAAGGTGGATCAAAGATTATACGTTACATATGTAATAACTTTGATATAGTTTAATATTAGACAATTAAATAAAGGACTCAAACTTTAATAAAGTTAATCGCGATGTCCCTGTAATGACAAATATAAAATTTGCATGACCCTTAACTCATGCAAACTGTGGCTTATTTAAGAAAGACAAATGTTAAACGCAAACACACACGCAGACAAAGAGAGAGAGAGAAGAGAGGGAGAGGGAGAAAGAAAGAAAGAGAGAGATGGAAGAAGGAGATAAAGGCACAGTTTGTGTAACTGGTGCAAATGGATATGTAGCATCCTGGCTGGTGATGAGGCTTCTCCAGTACGGTTACTCAGTCCACGCCACGACTAGATCAGACCCAGGTATGCTTTTTTTTTTTTTTTTTTTTTTTAAATTGAGTTGATGAAAAATTCTCCATTCTCCAAAGTCAAAGTCTGAGTTAAATGAAATTTTATTTTATTTTATTAATTTTTTTTTTATGTTGGCTAAAGATAAGTTTGAAATTTTACTTAACTTGAAGAGTATCGCATATTTATGTATATATCTAAGTTTCTTTTTTCACTTTTTGGATATTCTCAGTTAATTTAGAGGATAAATTTTGGTTCATCTATTTTTCCAGAATGTAGAAGAACTGTAGTTATGATTAAAAATCATGCTAAGATAAACGTTCTCGTTTTAAATATCATAATCTATATGACAGCCAGGTCATACACTTTACGAACTATCGTAAGAGTCATGATAATACGAACATGTTATCTGCGAAATTATCGTTTGAATGACAGATCATCTTAGAAATAATAGTTAAAACGATAAAGTTTTTAACTTGTTAGAATACGAACACAAATCACAGATTCACAATAATATGAGCCTTATAAACCGTAAAAGGTCCTTGCCTTCTAAAAACTTATATGGTAAAGAAAATGATTTTTTGTTAGACAAATTAAATTTATTTTCTCAATAATTAATTTCGACTTACCATTTTAAATTTTGTTCATAATCGCGTAATAGCTCTCACATCCTGTCAATTTTGTCAAAAAGGAAACAAGCTCGGGTTGGGTCAGGCTGAACGGTTCTATTTTTGCAGAACTCCAGGCTTCAGCTCCTTCAAGCCCACCTAGGCCCACCAATACCATCTGAATGTAGTTTATTTAGCTTCCTATGATTAGTGTTTACTTGATTACACTGAAAAAACACATCATTCACATAATGAATAAAAAACTATTCATCTTCAATGATGAATTGAACACATCATTGTTCAATTCATCTTCCTATAATAGTAATACTATTCATCTTCAATTTATTGTTCTTATTTTGTGCCATAATTTTTTAAATAATAAAGTATGTAATATGATATTATCTCCAGAAGGCAAAAAAGACATCAGCTATATCACAAAGTCAGCAGGAGCATCAGAGAAGCTGAAAATTTTCAATGCAGATCTCAGCGATCCAGAAAGTTTCGACGCAGCCATTGAAGGTTGCGTGGGAGTGTTTCACATAGCTCACCCTATGGATGATGACAAAGAGGGAGAAGAAATAGTGACAAAACGTGCCGTTGAAGGATTGTTAGGCATTTTAAAGGCATGTTTGAATTCCAAGACAGTGAAACGAGTTGTTTACACTTCTAGTGTCGCCACAATAGTTTATAATGACAAGGGCGGCGGCGATACATTGGATGAGAATATGTGGAGCGATATTGAATTTTGTAGAAACATTGATAACTTAAGCATGTCTTACTTGGTTTCCAAGATTACAACAGAAAAGACAGCCTTGGAATATGCAGAAAAACATGGCTTAAATCTTGTATCTTTGGTTCTTCCCTTGGTTGTTGGACCCTTCATTTGCCCTAATATGCCCTCATCTGTTTACATTTTTCTCACTCTGATATTGGGTAAGTCCTCTCTTTGTTCATTTTAATGTTTTAATTATGATTAATTATCCAAGTTTCAAAATGATAATCTGAATAGTTTTATGTATACAGGAAAACATGATGAATATAAATATCTTTTTTATTCATATAATATGGTGCACATCGATGATGTGGCGTCTGCACAAATCTTCCTTCTTGAGCATCCTAATTCGAAGGGAAGGTATATTTGTTCATCAGTCAAATTGACAATTGATGAAATGTTCGAGTATTTCTCAACCAAATACCCAGAATTTGAACTACCATCCGCAGAGTGAGTTTCTATTAATTCAATTCTCTCTTTTTTTTTTTTTTCGATTTAATGTCAAAGCTTATACTGGATTAAAGGGTTAACCTTTTTATTTTATTGCAGACGTTTGAAGGAGATTAAAGCTTATAAAAAACTTGAAATTTCATCAAAGAAGCTGTTAGATTGTGGGTTTAAGTTTAAATACGGGCCTAACGAAATGTTTGATGGAGCAGTTCAGTGCTGCAAAGAGAAAGGTTTACTGTAGGATGTATTTCATACATTTTCTTCGTAAAAATTGTACATGTACAATATTTCTTTTGACCATGACATAATTTAGTGTTGTGGATAAATAAATTTTGCCCTTAGCAAAATCAGTATAACAGTAAAAGTTGTGATAGTGGTGGTGCGTAAAAGAATGATAATACGGGACCAAATATTATAATTAACAACCACAAATTAACACTAATCCAAAAGGGCTGGCTACCAATTAATGAGGGGAATTCAGAAAAAGACTAAGAATTATACGCTATTCACAGTCTCTTGGAGAGAAGAAATTGGCAAGATGGAAGAAGGCAAATTAAGGAACAGGATTTGCGTTACCAGGTGGATGTTGGAACAGGATTTGTAGTGCCTAGATTGATCATGTATCTCCTTAACATGATTGATCATGTTTCATTATTTCACCACTATTCTATCCCTATTCCAAATACAAATGTGCATTTGTTTTCCTATTTTCAAAATCATATCTTAAATTAAAAAACTTTTTAAACCCTTTTAGTTTATTAATTAACAAAAACACCCCTAACAAAAAATTTATAAATTGATAAAAACGCCCCACATACCCATAGTTGACAGATTCGGGTAACCACCATTAATGGTGGCCAAAATCTGTCACAATGGCGTACTACCAATCGGAGTTGGTCGGTAATGCGCCGATCTGAACTTTTTTGGCCAGATTCACTGTGGATCTAGCAGGAAACGTTGACGGCCATATCTTTGACTGTCACTGATGGCCAGATCTAACTGTAGATTTAACCTTTTTCAGCCAGATCTGTGGTGAATTTGGTTAGAAAAGGCCAAATCGGGTCGGTCATGCGCTGTAACACTAGATTCCTGTAATAGTGATCGGAATCTGGCAACTGTGGGTAGGCGAGGGTGTTTTTATCATTTTATAAAAAAAATATATTGGGGTGTGTTTGTTTTAGTATTTTTGAAATAGTATTGATAGATAGAGTTGAGTAATTATTATAAGTTACTCGGTTTGAGCCACACTTGAAGCTGCCTCAGATGTGGTTTAATATTTACATCAAATACAACTCTAAGTTCCCAATTTCACGTCATGGATCGCATGGCTTATAATAATCTTCTGCCCATCAGATTCAATATATGTTATGACCATGGCTTAATTATAATTATAATTGAAATCTCTCTTATTTTAATAGTTAATTCATAGAAGTTCATTTGGTAACGTAGAAAATAATTTCAATGTATTTTTAACGGGAAGAACCTTTGTGATTTTTCAATTAATGTGATTCGACATTATTTTTTTAAGATGAAAAACTTTTGCTTCGTCACTGCTGTTGACACAAGAAGTCACTCATTAGACGTTCGTGAAAGTTGAGGTTTGGTTGGTGAGAATAAGGGTCCAAATATCATAATTACGAAGCAGAAATTATTTACTTGCTCCAAAAGGTTTGGCTACCAAGAAAGTATAAGTAGAGAAACCGGGATTGGAGAAGCCTTAAAAATAAAATTATTGAGAGAAGAAATTAGCGAGATGGAAGGAGGTAAAGGAACTGTTTGTGTAACAGGTGGAACTGGATTCTTAGCTTCATGGTTGATCATGAAGCTCCTTGAACATGGTTATTCGGTCCGGACCACTGTCAGAGCTGCCTCTGGTATGGTTTATTTTATATATCAGTTTTCCCTCCAAAAATGTCACTCTGCCGTTGGCTTATTCACTTTCAATTTAGCCAAGTTTATTATGCTGATTAGCACTTTGATAAATGAGCAGAACACAATAGAGATCTTAGCTTCCTCAGAAATCTGCCTGGGGCATCTGAGAAGCTCCAAATCTTGAATGCGGATCTGAGCGACCCAGATAGTTTTGATGCAGCGATTGAAGGATGCAGTGGTGTTCTTCATGTTGCTACACCTATTGATTTTGAAGGTAGAGAACCTGAAGAAGTTGTGACAAAAAGAGCAGTCAACGGAACTATTGGCATCTTGAAGGCATGTTTGAAAGCCAAAACAGTGAAGCGAGTTGTTTACACTTCAAGTGCATCGGCTGTTATGTTTAATGAAAAGAATGTTGATATAGTGGATGAGACATTATGGAGTGATGTAGATTTCATTAGAAAATCCATGGGTACCATGAGCTCTTACATGGTATCTAAGACATTAACTGACAAGGCAGCTCTTGAATTCGCAGAAGAACACGGATTGGATCTTGTGACATTGATGCCTCCTTTTATTGTTGGTCCCTTCATTTGTCCCAAGTTTCCTGGCTCAGTACGCACCGTGCTTGCTATGGTCCTGGGTACGTCAGTTCTCTTTTTCATTTTGGCACAGTTTTAGAGTAGCAGAACTTCAGTTCTGATTTTCTGAACAGTCTCTTTCAATTAATGACAATTCAGGTAATAAGGAGGAATATAGTCTTCTTCTCAATTCATTTATGGTGCATGTTGATGACGTGGCTAGGGCACATATATTCCTCCTTGAATGTCCAGGTGTGAAAGGGAGGTATATTTGTTCTTCACACGCACTAACAATTGAACAAATGTCTCAATTTCTTTCTGCTAAGTACCCTGAATATCCGATTCCAACATTAGAGTGAGTTTAATTCCGTTTTCATTTTCTTCATAATTTCTACTCATATATATCATCTTTTGATAATCAGAAATTAAAACAAAATTGTTAACGTAATATTTCTTTTGTTTTGACAGTGAAGTAGCAGAGATTAGAGGTTATAAAGTACCAGGGTTATCATCAAAGAAACTGTTGGATACTGGTTTCGAATTTAAGTATGGAGTAGATGAAATGTTCGATGGAGCAATCAATTGCTGCAAGGAAAAAGGCTTTCTCTAGTTAATAAGTTTGATACAATATATAATACTATGCGTATTATTGTGTGTTCTATCCATTTTAGAATCTACAGTGAAATCTTTGAGAATATTTTGTATAATATATTTATAAAACGATAATAAGAAATAATACCTCTCAAGGTCCTGTGATTTTCTGGAAACTTATTGACTGATTATAGTATTATACTTTTCAATCTTGACTGTTACAAACTTTAATTGCAGTTACTTAACCAGTTGGGACACTTCACCACTCAATTCAATTCTTAATTTGACAATACATATTTATGTATATGTCTAAGTTTCTTGATCATTGACATGATTATTAACTTCTCGTATCAAATATTATAATCTCTATGATGACTAGGTCATAGTCATACACTTTACAGCCTACATGTCATTTGTTGAATTATCGTTTGAACAAGACCATCTCAAAAATAATAATAAAAACGATAAAGTTTTCAACTTTTTAGAATACAAATATAAATCACAGATTCACAATAATATGAGCCTTATAAACCGTAAAGGGTCCTCAGCCTTCTAAAAACATATATGTCGGAATTATGAGCAAATGAAACTCAAAGAGATAGTTTATTGAATTTAATTGTCATTGAATTGATTATAATTGAATTAATATTGTCTATTTATACAAAAATTAAACTATATAATAAGAAAACATAATACTGTAATAATATCTAAAACCTATTAGAATAAGAAAACATAATATTGTTTCACAATTAAGGAACATATTATTTGCATTCCATTTTGCACTTCAACAATATATTACAAAGAAAATGATTTTTTGTTAGACAAATTCAATTTATTTTCTTTGAATGACAAAATTAATAATTAATTTTGACTTACCATTTTAAATTTTGTTCATAATCTTAGCGTAAAAGTTTTCACATCCGGTAAATAAATCTTGTTTTGTGCCATAATTCTTGTTAAATAATAAAGTACGTAAAATGATATTTTCTCCAGAAGACAAAAAAGACATCAGCTATATCACAAAGTCAGCAGGAGCATCAGAGAAGGTAAAAAATTTCAATGCAGATCTCAGCGATCCAGAAAGTTTTGACGAAGCCATCGAAGGTTGCGTGGGAGTGTTTCACTTCACATAGCTCATCCTATGTATGATGACAAAGAGGGAGAAGAAATTAATACTGACAAAACGTGCGGTTGAAGGATTTTGTCAGGCATGCTTGAATTCCAAGATAGTGAAACGAGTTGTTTACACTTGTAGTGTCGCCACAATAGCTTATAATGACAAGGGCGGCGGCGATACATTGGATGAGAATATGTGGACCGATGTTGAAATTAGTGGAAACATTGGTAATTTAATCATATCGTATTTGGTTTCCAAGATTACAACAGAAAAGACAGCCTTGGAATATGCAGAGAAACATGGCTTAAATCTCGTATCTTTGCTTCTTCCCTTGGTTGTTGGACCCTTCATTTGCCCTACTATGCCCTCATCCATTTACAGTTTTCTCACTATGATATTGAGTATGTCCTCCCTTTGTTCATTTTAATGTTTTAATTATGATTAATTAATAATCATCCAAGCTTCAAAACAACAATCTGAATAGTTTTATGTATTTAGGGAAACAGATGAATATAAAAAGACGTTTGAAAGAGATTAAAGCATATAAAAAGACATCCAAATTCATCAAAGAAGCTCTTAGATTTTATTTTTTTAACCATGACATAATTTAGTGTTGTGGATAAATAAATTTTGCCCTCAAGAAAATCATTTTAACAGTAAAACTTGTGATAGTGGTGGTTTAATTTTTATATCAAATAACTCTAAATGCCAAATTTCACCTAATGGACCGCATGGCTTAGAATATCTTCTGCCCATCAAATTCAATATATGTTATGAACATGGCTTATAATTATAATTGAAATCTCTCTTATTTTAATATATAATTCATAGAAGTTTATTTGGTAATGCGGAAAATAAAGTCAATGTATTTCTAAAGAGAAAAACCTTTGTGATTTTTCAATTAATGTGATTCGATATTGTTTTCTTAAGATGAAAAACTTTTGCTTCGTCACTACGACTAACATAAGAAGTCACTCGTTAGTGAAAGTTGAGATTTAGTTGTGACAATAAGGGTTAAAATATCATAAGGCCGAACGATATCCTCCCACCCGAACTTTACGCTACCGACAATTTTATATCAAAAAGTTTAAAAACGACAATTATCCATCTTATGTCAGAATCCTTTTGAAGAAGGACAAGATGATAAGCAGCCAAAAAAAAATCTATTATTGTTCACTCTCTTTAATTTTAGTTTTATAATAACTCTCTTTTCAATTTTCATATTTTTAGTTTTGCAATTAATTTTAATTAAAATTTTAAAATCCCCTGCAATGGCAAACAAACCACAAATATATCAGCATCTTTTGTATTTTTTTTTTTTATTTGTTTGTGTACAATGCAGTTAAATGAAAATTAGAGAGGCATCTTAAATTTTCTTCCCCACTTGTGCAGTGTTCAATGAAAATACATTATGCCAAAACTAGTTACCATTCTAACCAAAAACTTACATTTTTCTTCATTCAAACACTTGTTCTTCAGTATAGCTCAGGACCACCATTGTTAAAGGTTTTTGAAGAATGAAAAAAGGGAGAATAAAGGTATTGATGCGTGATTTTTACACCAACTAAACGCACGTGTGAAATATTGAGTTGATCCAAAAGACACACGTGAATATAAAGGAAAATGGGAGTAAATACAATGGAGACAGCTTTTAAAGTGGTTCGAATGCTAAGGTAGCAAATTCTACGTCCACTGATATTTTATTAATGATAGGGAACACATGGGATCACCATAGCTTCCGGCTTGGTCTGGCACACATCCACTATTCTGACAGTGGCAGGTTGCGGGTGTACCCATGTTCTGACTTTTGCACGTTGACTGGACATTATATCAGCCCTATATTTTTCAGGTATAACAAAAGGAAAGAAAGAAAGATAAGAGAAAGAAAATAAGTGGAGGAGATGAAGAGATGAGATGGATGGCAATAGAAAATGAAGTAAAAGATAATAAGAAAATAGGAGAAAAAAATTTGGGATTTTATATTATACTATGTGTATTATTGTGTATTTTATCCAGCTTAGAATCTACAGGTGAAATCTTTGAGAATATTTTTTATATTATATGTATAATACAATGATAAGAAATAATAACTGTCAAGGTCCTGTGATTTCTTGGAAATTTATTGAGTGATTATAGTATCATACTTTTTCAATCTGACTGTCTTCAACTTTGATTGTAGTAATTGCTGTTACTTACCAATCGACAGTAACCACTCATTCAATTCTTAATTTGATCGTACAATTTATGTATATTAGTATTTAATGTCTAAGTTTCTTCATCATTGACATGATTATTAACTTTTCCTATCTAATATCATTTATATGACACCCATCACACACTTTACAGATTATCGTAAAAGTCTTGATAATATGAATTTGTCATCCGCTGATTTATCGTTTGAACAAGATCATCCTAGAAATAATAATAAACAATAAAGTTTTCAATTTTTTGAAATACAATATAAATCATAGATTCACATTATATGAGCATTATAACCTGTATTGTAAAGAAAATGAATTTTTGTTAGACAAATTCAATTTATTTTCTTTGAATGACAATTTTTTTTTTAAATTTTGTTTCTATATATTACCGTAAAAGCTTTCACGCTGTAAATTGATCTTATTTTGTGCCATAATTCTTGTTAAATAATAAAGTATGTAATATGATATTTTCTCCCGAAGGCCAAAAAAAAAAAAAAAAAAAAAAAAACATCAGCTGTATCACAAAGTCAGTAGGAGCATCAATGAAGGTAAAAAATTTCAATGCAGATCTCAGCGATCCAGAAAGTTTCGACGCAGCCATCGAAGGTTGCGTGAGAGTGTTTCACATAGCTTACCCTGTGTATGATGACAAAGAGGGAGAAGAAATTAGTAGTGACAAAACGTGCGGTTGAAGGATTTTGTTAGGCATTTTAAAGGCATGCTTGGATTCCAAGACAGTGAAACGAGTTGTTTACACTTCTAGTGTCACCACAATAGCTTATAATGACAAAGGCGACGATACATTGGATGAAGAATATGTGGACCAATATTGAAATTTGTAAGATTACAACAGAAAATACAGCCTTGGAATATGCAGAAAAACATGGCTTAAAATCTTGTGTCTTTGGTTCTTCCCTTGGTTGTTGGACCCTTCATTTGCCCTACTATGCCCTCATCTGTTTGCATTTTTCTCACTATGATATTGAGTATGTCCTCCCTTTGTTCATTTTAATGTTTTAATTATGATTGATTATCCAAGCTTCAAAACAATAATGTGAATAGTTTTATGTATATAGGGAATCGAGATCATATAATATGGTGCCTGTCGATGATGGATTGTTCATACAAATCTTCATTTTTGAATATCCTAATTCGAAGAGAATGTATATTTCTTCATCACTTAGAATTGATAATTAATGAAATGTTTGAATATTTCTCAACCAAATACCTAGAATTTGAACTACATCTGCAGAGCGAGTTTCTATTAATTCAATTCTCTTTTTTGATTGCATTTAATATCAAAGCTTCTACTGGATTAAACAGTTGACCTTTTTATTTTATTACAAACGTTTTAAGGAGATTAAAGCTTATAAAAGACTTCGAAATTCATCAAAGAGGCTCTTAGATTATGGGTTTAAGTATAAATACGGCCTGACGACATGTTTGATGGAGCACTTCAATGTTGCAAGGAGAAAGGTTTATTGTGGGATGTATGTCATACATTTAAAAAAAAAAAAGTCTACATGTACAATGTTTTTTTTTTTTTTAACCATGACATAATTTAGTGTTGTGGATAAATAAATTTTGCCCTTAGAAAAGTCATTATAACAGTAAAAGTTGTGATAGTGGTGGTGGGTAATACATGTCATAGCCTCTAAGCTCTAGGTAGTTTGACAGTTTGTTTAGAACTCTCGAATGTATTATTCAAGAGGTTTTAAATTCAAATAATACGACAACTAATAAGGAGTAGCTCTGGAGGCTTACCAGGTCGTTAACTTCAAGGTCCTGGAAGAGTAGTTAAGGTGTATGTAAACTACTCAAACACCCCCGGATACCAAAAAAAAAAAAAAAAAAAAGGGGTCATAGTCCAACAATGATAATAAGGGACCAAACATTATAATTAACAACCACAGATCAAAACTACTCCAAAAGGACTGGCTACCAATTAATAAGAGGAATTCAGTAGAGAGACTAAGAATTATATGCTATTCACATTCTCTTGGATAGAAGAAATTGGCGAGATGGAAGAAGGTTAATTAAGGAACTGTTTGTGTTACCAGGTGGATGTTGGAACAGGATTCGTAGTGCCCTGCTTCAGATGTGGTTTAATTTTAATATCTAATACAACTACCAATTTCACGTCATGGATCGAATGGCTTATAATAATCTTCTGCCCATCAAAATCAATATATGTTTTGGGCAGGGCTTATAATTATAATTGAAATCTCTCTTATTTTAATAAATAATTCATAGAAGTTTATTTGGTAATGTGGAAAACAAATTCAATGTATTTTTAACAAGAAAAACCTTAGTAATTTTTCAATTAATGTGATTCGATATTGTTTTTTTAAGGCTTTTGCTTCATCACCGCTACTGACATAAAAATTCACTCGTTAGTGAAAGCTGAGACTTGGTTGTGACAATAAGGCTCAAAATATCATAAGGCTGAACAACATCCTCCCACCTGAACTTTGCCCTAACACAATTTTCTACCAAAAAGTTTAAAAACGATAATTACCCACGTTCCATCAGAATCGATTGGTAAAATCCATTTAAAGAAGGACAAAATGGTAATTTGTAGCGCCAAAAAATCTAATGCCACGTGTCTTATAAAATATTACAATTAATTTTAATTAAAATTTCGTAATCCCCTGCAACGGCAAAGATATTCACCGTCCACACCTCCACCGAACCCCCACTATGGCCAGAACCACAAATATATCAGCATCTTTTATTTATTTATTTTTTATTTTTTTGTGTCCGTGTACAATGCAGTTTAATGAAAATTAGAGAGGCACCTTAAATTTTCTTCCCTAATTGTGCAGTGTTCAATGAAAATACATTATGCCAAAACTAGTTACCATTCTAACCAAAAACTTAGCTTTTTCTTCATTCAAATACTTGTTCTTCAGTCCATCGTTGTTGAAGGGTTTTGAAGAAAGAAAATACTGTCTTTGGTTTTTGATATGAATCTTAAAATCCTTTAAAAAGAAAATACTGCATTGCACACAAACAAATAAAGAATTCGGCTGGAATCGCATCTTGCTGGGCAGAATCGCACCCGAACTAATGCGATTCCAGCCTAATCGAGCTTGGCCGGGTGACATTCGGCCGGAATCACATCGGTCAGGTGACATTTGGCCGGATGGGAAGATGAAGAAGATGAAGACAGGAAGAGGGGGAGAAGAAGAATAAGATGATGATGGGAGGAGGAGGAGGGAGAGGGAGAGAGAGGAGTAGAGAGAAAGGTGGAGGAGAGAAAGAGAAAAGATGAATGGAAAGGGAGGGAAGAAAAGAAATGTAAGAAACCAACAATGGGTAGGCCCAGTGGTAAACAATTTGGAGTCAAAGGTTTGCTCCCCTCTCATTTTAGTTTCGAATCATAATAATGGTTGTTGGGAGACTAATTAAGATACGTATAATCTGACCTAGATATCCGATTAAAAACAAAAAAAAAAAAAACATGTAAGAGGACGTGGAGAAGATGAAGAGATGAGATGGATGGAAATAGGTGAAAAAAAATTAGGGATTTTATAAAATATAAAACGTCAAAATTATCCTTAAAGGATGAAAGAACATCAATAATACCATTTTTTCTGACGAAAAGTGGATAAGGATGATCTTTGTTAGGTAAAATTGTCCTTTGGCCAAAGTTTGGGTGGGAGGATGTCCGTCGGCCAATGTCATAATTACAAAGCAGCAATTATTTGCCCGATCAAAAAAGGACTGGCTACCAAAAACTAAAAAGTATGAGTAGATAAACTTAAAAATAAAATTATCGGAGAGAAGAAATTAGCGAGATGGAAGGAGGTAAAGGAACTGTTTGTGTAACAGGTGGAACTGGATTCGTAGCTTCATGGTTGATCATGAAGCTTCTTGAACATGGTTATTCGGTCCGGACCACTGTCAGAGCTGCCTCTGGTATGGTTTATTTTTTATATCTTTTTTTCCCCAAAAATGTCACTCTGTCGTTAGCTTATTCAGTTTCAATTTAGCCAAGTTTATTATGCTGATTAGCACTTTGATAAATGAGCAGAACACAATAGAGATCTTAGCTTCCTCAGAAATCTGCCAGGGGCATCTGAGAAGCTCCAAATCTTGAATGCGGATCTGAGCGACCCAGATAGTTTTGATGCAGCCATTGAAGGATGCAGTGGTGTTCTTCATGTTGCTACACCTATTGATTTTGAAGGTAGAGAACCTGAAGAAGTTGTGACAAAAAGAGCAATCAACGGAACTATTGGCATCTTAAAGGCATGTTTGAAAGCCAAAACAGTGAAGCGAGTTGTTTACACTTCAAGTGCATCGGCTGTTGTGTTTAATGAAAAGAATGTTGATATAATGGATGAGACATTTTGGAGTGATGTAGATTTCATTAGAAAAACCATGCCCATCGTTGGCTCTTACATGATATCTAAGACATTAACTGAAAAGGCAGCTCTTGAATTCGCAGAAGAACACGGATTGGATCTGGTGACATTGATACCTTCTTTTATTGTTGGTCCCTTCATTTGTCCCAAATTTCCTGGCTCAGTACGCGTCGTGTTAGCTATGGTCCGGGGTACGTCAGTTCTCTTTTTCATTGTGGCACAGTTTTAGAATAGCAGAACTTGAGTTCTGATTTTCTGAGTAGTCTCTTTCAATTAATGACAATTCAGGTAATAAGGAGGAGTATAGTTCTCTTCTCAACACATCTATGGTGCATGTTGATGATGTGGCCAGGGCACATATATTCCTCCTTGAACATCCTGGTGTGAAAGGGAGGTATATTTGTTCTTCACACACAATAACAATTGAACAAATGTCTCAACTTCTTTCTGCTAAGTACCCAGAATATCCGATTCCAACATTAGAGTGAGTTTAATTCCTTTTTCATTTTCTTGATAATTTCCACTCATATATATCATCTTTTGATAATAAAAAATTAAAATAAAACTGTTAACGGATTATTTCTTTTGTTTTGATAGTGAAGTAGCAGAGATCAGAGGTTATAAAATACCAGGATTATCGTCAAAGAAACTATTGGATACTGGTTTCGAATTTAAGTATGGGGTCGATGAAATGTTCGATGGAGCAATCAATTGCTGCAACGAAAAAGGCTTTCTCTAGTTAATAAGTTTGATACAATAGATTATACTATGACTATCCGTATTATTGTGTATTCTACCAAGTTTAGAATCTACAGGTGAAATCTTAAAGAATAATTTGTATACTATATGTGTAAAACAATGATAAGGAATAATAACTCTTAAGGTCCTGCAATTTCCTGAAAATATATTGTTGATGCGTGATTTTACACCAACGAAACGTACGTGTGAAATGCTGTGTGGACCCAGAAGACACACGTGAATGTAATGGATAAAGAGATAGTAAATGCAATGAAGACAGTTTTTAAAGTGGTTCGGATGCTAAGGTAGCAAGTCCTACGTCCACTGATGCTTATATTGATGATCAAGGTTAGGTCGTTTTTAGTTGGCTGACTTTATAATAATGTTACAAGGTATCAAATACTGAGAATTCTAGGAAAGAGATAGTAATTAATCAAGCGTAAAATGTGCTAATCCCCTTCAATGAGAGATGAACTTCAAATATATAGTGAGATGTCATGAGGCAATGATCACTAAATCTGTAAGTTGGTGGGATTATCTGTGCAAATCCTTCTTTATGTCACATTGCTCACCTTCCAGAGTGATTTGCACGATTTAGAGCAAGGATTGGACACGTGGGAGCACCACAACTCTTGACTAGCCTGACGCGCACCCACTATCCTGACGGACGCAGGCGGTGGTTGTTCCAATGACCTGACTTTTGTGGGCTGAAAGGACCTGACATCAACCCTCATATTTTTTAGGCATAACAGAAGTCCCCTAGTTTTTAAGGTTTGAGGACTGAACCTTGAAAACTATAAGTCATGCCGCAGCGGGATGATTTCTGGAAATTCTGGACTGTTTGAGAATAGGTCGGAGTGAGATTTTTATAAGCGCGACCTTGCATGTTCAGGGACGAGCGACCTGATTTCGTCCGACGTCACCTGTTTGCTCTGGTGATAAGGATGCATTTAATGAAGCGATCCCTGCGCTGACAGGTGTGTCCTTTGCGTGATAAATGCCAGCCAATCGCATTAAATGCGTTGTATGCTGAAACAGTGCACTTTTTTAGAACATTAAATGCATTATACGTTGGAACGGCGTACCTTACCAGAGCATTAAATGAAGATTTGAGACGCAATTAATGCTTTGAGAGAAGGATGGCCGTCGTTTGAGCTTTTCAACTGGAAAGATGAAAGTTTGACTTTATCCAGTCGTTTCGTTCACCCTTCCTCGCTGATGAGTGACACGTGGCCAAGATCAACAGTGAGAAGCCTTTAAAGCCCAAATGTCGTTTCGATTCCAGGAAATCCAAACACCGATTCACACGCTATAAAAACCTCAAATCGTTCTCAGGCAATGTCACCAAAGCCTTTTTCATAGAGAACAAAAGATTTTCACAGGCTAGGAACCTTTGTCTTCCAAACCTGCATTTTTTCGGCATTTGAAGTAGAAACAGTCGTCATACTCCGAGAGGTAAGAGCTTCCCTGCCATTATTTCATTTCATCCATGAGTTAATGGTGTCGGTCTTCCGGTAACCCATCAGAGACAAGACGTTTGCGCTGGGTTCGAGCCATGAATGGCGGTTCAAATCACGCCGCTAGGGTTTTCTTTAGGATTTAAGGAGTTTGTTTCCTCCCATGTCATCGTACAAAATAGCATAAGGAGGCCAAATAACCCTTCTGCTTGTCGCTTTTGCAGATTGGCAAAATGGACCCCTCAACAGCCAGATCCGAGCAGGGAACCAGTTCGTCCCCGCAGGGTGCTTCTAGCATCCCTCTCGAGGTTTTCTCGGCACTTACCGGGGAAGAACTCGAGAGGGTAATAAACCAATACGGTATCGAGGTGGACGTTTTCCACGACCTGACGCATTCGTCGCGATACCCATCAAGCGGCCTGGCTGCGATCTCCGAGGAGATTATCAAGGGTGGAGGACTTATCCCCCTACACCCTTTCATCAGGTCGTTTCTAGACCACTTCGGGGTAGCACCGATGCAGCTGACCCCGAACGCGTATGTCATTGCTGTTACAATGTACGTCACGTGCCAGGAGAACGGGCTAGGCGAGCTGACCGCCTTAGAGCTCGACTGCTCGTATTTTCTGAAAAAGAGCAAGGACAAGGACTCGTATTACTTATCCAGGCGACCAACCATTGTCGACGGGATACACAGCTATCCCAGCAACGCGGGGGCCTACGAAACGAAGTTTTCCTTCTTTTGTTACGATGGTCATTGCCGCTTCTAGGAACCGAGTAGGCCTCTTTCTCTTTGCTTGCATTTCTGTTTTGCTTTGGTGAACTTATTGCGTTCGAAGCATGTTCGCTCTAACGACCTGGTTTTTTCTTTTTGATAGTTAACAAGACGACCGAAATAGGGCTGCTTCATGATAGGAGAAGAATCGTGCACTTCGGCTCCCTACCTGAGGACAAGCGCGACGCGAAGAAACTTTTGACGACCATAAATTTGCGGAAATATGGTTTCTTTAACGCAAGCGCGTCGTTAGAGCCTCCACCGAGTAAGTTCTGCTAACTGATTCTTTTCCTGGTCGTGGAATAGAATACCTTCACTAACCTTGCCTTGCATGCAGCAACCATGCCACCGAAGGAGCCAAAGCAGCCTCGACGAAGGCCTTTAAATTTCCCTCGATCGAAGAAAGCTAAGGCGGTTGAAGCTGCTCAAACAATCCCCCCGGCTGAGGGTGCGACCCCAGGCCAACCGGCGCAACCTTCTTGAACTTCTCAGCTGCAGCCGGCAGAAGATGCACAAACGCGAATCGCGAAGGTCTCCCAGCCGTCGCCTGCTCGCCCAAGGATGAAAACGATGGCTCAGCGAAAAAAGAGGAAGCAGATTCAGGTCGAGGAATCAGAGACCGAATCTGAAGGCGAGTAACTAAGGAGGCCGCAAAAGGACGTCGGGAGAAGGTTGGGAAAGGAACCGATGGTTGACACGACCACTACTGAAGGTGGGAAGACGGATACCCCAGTGTTGGACTCGCTAGGGAACCTACTGGAGTACCTGCAGCCGGTGGTCTACGCTTTACTGGAATGCGGACTCTCAAAATTATTCGAGCAGTTCGCAAATTTCAGCAACGTCGACCTGATGTCCACGTCGGTCTAGCACATAAGCAAGATGAGCGAACTATCCCCAACGGGGACTACCGTTAGCTTCTTTTTATTGGCTAACTCTATCTTTCTTTGTTCGCAAGCCCTTCTTTCCATGCGAATGTCTTTGGAGAAGGCTCAACTGGGGGCCGCAAAGGAGGAGGTCGTGCTGAAGGGAGAGAACGCGACTCTCAAGCGAAGCCTGGAGGCCGCCGAAACGGAGAGAAACTTATCTTTCGAATTGGCGAACCGACTCCAGAACGAAAGGGATGCGGCTCTTCTCACAGTTGACTTCCAGAAGACGCAGCTCGAGAAGCAGGGGGAAGAGATAAAGGAACTGCAAAGGACCATAGCCAGACTCTCTAAGCAGGCCAGGGAGAAGGACCAGGAACTGAAAGCGACCTCCCTGCAGGTCGCGTGAGCAGAGCAGGAGAGAGAGGCTTCTGAGAAGCTAAGGCAAGCTCTTGAAGTTGAACTTCAGGAAAGTCAAGGGAAAGTTGCTTCCTTGACAGAAGAGATGCAGAAACAGGCTGCGGAGGTCGAGGAGAGGGCTGCCGAATGGGCGATCGAGTCTATTTATGCCCTGCGGCCGAGGAATCCGCGACTCGACATTTTCGACCTTCTGGAAGACTGGCACGAAACACTCATGACAATGGCACGGGAGAATGATGAAGCCGCGACCTCCCAAGCGGGTGGTTCGGGACATGCTTCGGACAAACCTTCCATCGACCAGCCTTAGGATGTCGAGGTCGCCTCTTTAGGAGTCAATTTAGGGTTCTCAGCCATATCTTTTTGCCTGCTGTACTTCTTATTAATAAAATTCACATTTTTTACTTATACAATTTCTGTTCATTTTATTATACATGAGTACTTTCTGATTGCTTATATTCATTGAGTCAAAGATAACATAACTCATTCGCACGAAAAGGATCACATATAAAGATTGCTACAAACGTCCAAGATAAAATTTTATAAAGAAATGACTTACAAAAATCAGAAGTTAATTTACAAGGAAAGCTGAGTTCGGAATTACTGATAGTATGGCCAAAGGTGCTCAGCATTCCAGGCTCGAGGTACCTTGGAACCGTTTAGCCTTTTGAGATGATAAGTTCTCGGTCTGATTACTTTATCAATGCGGTATGGACCTTCCCAGTTCGACCCTAAAACTCCCGCACTTGGTTCCCTAGTTCCGAGAAGGACTTCCTTTAACACCAGGTCGCCGACCTGGAAGTCTCTTCGCTTGACCTTTGAATCGAAGAACTTCTTCGTGCATTGCTGATAGGCTGCTATCCTTAGCAAAGCCTTGCTGCGATGTTCTTCAACAAGGTCCAGGCTCGCCCTTATGAGCGCTTCGTTGTCGGCCTCATTGTACAAATCTCTCCGAAGTGAACCAATTCCTACCTCAATAGGAATCATTGCTTCGCAACCGTATGCTAGCGAAAAGGGTGTTTCCGAGGTGGAGGTTCTTGGAGTTGTTCTGTACGCCCATAGGACTTCTGGGAGGTCGTCGGCTCAATTTCCCTTGGCTTTGCCAAGTTTGGCTTTCAGAGTGTGTTTGATGGTTTTGTTGACAGCTTCAACTTGGCCATTTGCTTGCGGTCTTGCGATAGAAGCGAATTTCTTATGGATGCCCAGCTCATCGCAAAACTGCTTGAATTCCTCGTTGTCGAATTGTTTTCCATTATCCGAAATGAGGGTGTGAGGAATTCCAAAGCGGCTCACAATATTCCTGAAAACGAACTCTTTGAGTTTTCTAGTCGTGATCGCGACTAGCGATTCGGCTTCTACCCATTTGGTGAAGTAATCTACCGCGATCACGACATATTTGACTCCCCCTTTTCCAACTGGCATGAGACCGATGAGATCAATCCTCCACATGGAAAAAGGCCAGGGGCTAGTCATAGTAATCAGTTCGTGGGAAGGAGCTCGCGGTATGCTCGCGAACCGCTGACATTTATCACACCTCTTGACAAAATTGTAGGTGTCATCCTGAATTCGGGGCCAATAGTACCCCTGACAAACAACCTTGTTTGCAAAAGATCATGCGGCGGTGTGATTACCGCAGATCCCTTCATGAATTTCTCTCATGATGTATTCTGTTTCTTC